GTTAGGCAGTGGCCAGATTGGGACAGACAGGCTCAGGTAGACATGATCTAATCTGCTTAGCCTGTCATGGTCTATCAGTTAGCTCATCGGCAAGTTAGTCGATCGGTCATTCAGTCAACAAATTGAGGGATAATGCATTGTGGATCATCCTTAAAATTCGAAAGAAGAGCGCCTTCGCTACTTAATTGTCCAAGCTAATTGGCCAGCTGTTGGTACGTTGAAGGGAGCCCTTTTTGGATATTCGCATAGGCGTCAAGTCAAGTCACCTGTTTTCTTACTGATGGATGGCTAAAACAAAGGCACGATTTGGTGAACTAAACTAGAGTGTGTGCAAATACGAGCATGGTGTTGTAAAAGATGATTAGAAGTGATCACAGTAATTCCTTACTTACCAAGACCAGCAATCAATTATCTACCTTTTAAAGCAAAGAAAATAGGAATAGAAGGCTCCTCTTTCCGCAAGTATGTACAGTTATTTATGGAACAAATTAGAAAAAAGATGCTTTGATCATTACAAATTTTCTAAAGAATCGGGTCTTTTTATAGTTAGATAAACAAGATAGCAATACGCAAAGACGCATTAAATTTAATCATTAGCCTAAATTCAAAGTCCAAAGCTTGACACCTAACGTCTTTAACAAACTGTTGCATTGTGAACCTTAGAAGGTCAAACGTTTTAGCCCATTTATCAATATTCTTTTCTTGTGTTTAGCTAAGGACGTGCTGAGCAAAATTGTCAGTAGTTTCTTCTCTGATTGATGCAGAAGTTAATTTAAAAGAATGCATAGTCCTCAAACAAAGCGCGATTAGTCGCGGAAGATAAAATGCAAACTTCAGAACACGTTCCTTAAAACTATTTATAAATAATTTATTAGATGTTATACAGTTTACGCCGTCAATATGGGTAGAAATAGAAGTCGAAGTGATTGATGTCAAAAGCTAATGAAAGGTTAGCATTGAGTTATTTCATGAGTGATGCAGTGAAGATATCGGATGATGAGAGGCTGTAGTGGCGTTGTAAGCTGCTGCAGCAGGCGCTAACTCGGCTTAAATAGGATGCTGACATCCCAGACAAAGAAGTCGATAGAGAAGGGCGAAGCCTTAAAAATCTAATGGCAAAAACTCAGAGGTCAGGTCTAAAATGAGTCGCTTCCCATTGCATTCAAGCAGCGGTGACAGCATTGCTGATAGCTCTTTCTCCCTATCAAAGCTTCAAATGACCAACTTCTTTTGATACATCACA